AATTATGAGCCATGCCTTAGGAGTTTTTCACTGTCTGCTCTTCTTGCTCAGTCACACTACCGGCTTACGTGAACTAAGTGTGGTTTATTACTTGAAACAAGCGAGTAGTCGTCTACAATTGTGTCAACGACTTCTTTGGAAGGCTCGGCTGCGCCGATGCATTTCTTAAATATTATGTACCAAGAGGGAGTTCAAAGGCGTTTGCCTGTATTTCCTTTAATAAACTTCACTTGAGTTGACCCCAGAATGGGTGCTCCAGTCTCGCCGTATGAGAGTAAATAATTATGCCAAAGTTAAATATTATTATGATGAAAAGCCAGGCGTTACAACCGGCTAACATCTCAACATTTACGTCCAAACTAAATAAACAATGCTGTTTTTTAACAAAAGAGCGTGCCGAGCTGATTCTGTATTTTCATCTCCATTTAGGTGTTTTGATTGGAAAATGCCTAGAGGAGGGAGGGTTGACGTATTCTCGGGAACCAGTTATTCTACTGTTCAACTAAAATATTTTCCAACTACTTTCTTAGTTGCACATTTAACTACCAATTAAGAGGCCAACGAAAGCAGGCGAAAACAAGAATTACCAAGGAGCCCATTCTTCTCCCAGGCCTCAACTAGGGCCCTGAAATTTATGCCGGACTTCACCAGTTGCAAACTGTTAAGGACCTCGCCGTATGGCAGCTGGACCTCAGCTGCGTCTAATGCAGTCAGGTCCTCCATTCCTGCCAACAAAATTTATTAATAAAGTTGTGTCAAAGCGAGACAATAGGATATATGATGTGAAAAAAAACCTTTTGCGGATAACTGAATTTGACTGGATGATATGCTGAAATTATCTTTGTATGGTCAGTGGCCAGCAAACAAAAATCCCAATAGTCATTGATGAACATTCATCCAACCGCTAGCGGAAATCACCTGTCCCGCTCTGTCTGGGGTCGCGATGGAGGCCTTGACAGCCGTTGAAGCTGGTAGTGTAGGCAGATAGTATTACTGGCAAAGAAAAGGAGACTGAAATAGCCATTTCTGGCTTGTTAGCCATCGTCGGCCAGTCATACCCAGACCGAAGTGGCGTCCCACCCGAGCAGCGAACTGACGACCACTTTGATCAGAGTCAAGCACCCTAGACGTTGAGTTACGAGCTCAATGTCTTCCCCGGTTAGGTCGAGGGATATTGACACACATTGATGAACGTTAAACTGACTGCTAACGGAACTCACCCGTCCCTTTCTACCTAGATTCTTGACGGAAACCCTCACAGCCATAGCGAGTGCGAGACTCTTGTGGGACGCCACTTGGGTCTGGGTATGACTAGATGACGACGGCTAATAAGCCAGAAATGGCCATTTCATGCTACCGTGTCTTTTTCGGTAATACTATCTACCTATTCCACGCGTTTTGGTTTGCAAACGCGTAGTCAACAATTACATGCTTACAGTTGCCAGTTCGAATATTAACCATCCAAAAACTAACACGTACTGTTACTACTGTCAACCACCGTTACAGTTGTGCAGCGGACCTCCGCTTGTCAACATTACAACTTGCGACAACCTTTGTGAATTAAGGTTTA